AGCTTATCACCTGTAGGTTTTAACTTATTCACTGAATCTTCTAATTAAGTAATAAACTAATTTTTTATGATTATTTTAAAATCCATTTCTAATTTCTTACAACACATTGTTTGCGAAACTGTCGGTTCCATGGAGTAATTTTTATGAAAATTAAAAAAATCTCAAATACTGTGCAAAGATCACTGACAAATTTCAGTTTCTTAAATGATATCTCGCTATGTAAATAATTGATGACTTTAAAATCCATATCAGCCCATTCATCTTTGTAGTCCCGTCATTCTATAACAGTTACATATTTCTTTGACCTTACAAACATTATTATTTTCTTCTTTGAGTAAGTATGGTCTTGGCCATCTAAACCAAGTATGAAAATTCACACCATCTTAAAATCATTTAAATCTGTACGTGATTTTTCCAAATTCTTAGATTCTCTGTTTTCCTGTAAAAATTTACCTTTTTAACATTAGTATATTTTGGATAACCTATTACAGTAATTTTCTTAATTCTTCTTAGTTTACGACTAACACTTTAATTATCTGTGATTACTTATATATCATCTTTAAAATTATAAACAGCTGACTTGAAGAACGACAGTCAACTTTCAGCAACAACAGATTGATAAAGCCATGGACTTCACTACCATTTCAGGACGGATCAACAGTTAAAGAAAATATTACTTAATAATTAAAAGATTTTAATATTACACGGCCCAGCCAGTCAGTGGTACACGTGCACAACCGTGTGCTTCGACGACAGGAGGAGATCTGGGCTAAAGTTTTTAACCAAGCACCAAACAATACGAAAAATACTGCTTACTGTACACTCTTCTCTTTTTGTAACAAAGACTTTTTATTAGTGAATGTACTCGTGCATGCACAGTCCAGATCTAGTCATCTTTTTGCTACGTTTTCGTCAAATTTTTTACAAAATGTGCTACTTTACATTACAATATCTTATAAGCCATAAAGCTAGGCTCTCTTAAGTTTAGGACAAAGCTTCTAAGATAATCAGCTTTGACGAAGTAGTTTTTTACAAAAACCTATCGAAAATTAAATGAGTTATATGAGAACCAGTATCATTAGCAGCAAACTCGTTACAACATCTCCATAAGCCCTTGTATAATAGAAAAGATTGAATATTATTTTTCCAAAAAAACTACAATGCTAGTACTTCTGAAATATAATTATGTTAGAAAAAGTGATAAAATGAGTGTCTTATAATTTTTTTAAAAGTTTTATCGAAAATGAAATATCACAATAACCCCTGTAAAAGGCGCATATACAGAGATATGCCGCACAGCTATATTACAAACCAACCACGATTATCCTATCACGTTCTTTATGATAACAAATATTTCTTTCAATCAAAATTGAAGAATTAATTGTTATTTATTTTAAAAAAATTTTAAAATACATGAAAAAATAAGATAAAAGATACTCCTCCCTTGATATATAATATAGTATATGGTATGTATAGTAATAACTCAATGGTAGAGCAACTGTCTTGTTAGCAATAAGTTGTGCATTTGATCATTAGCCAGAAAAATATTTTTTTATTTTTGTAGATGTATTAAATTTTGTTTTCTGTTTTTATCACTAATTTCACTCTTCAGTTGAGTGTTCCCTGTTGATTTATGTAACTTTTGATAAGCGTAAATATCGTAGTAAGTGCAGGCTTCATGCAGCAGTTTTATTAAATTTACCGATTTATATCGCAACTTAAAAGAAAGAAGATTCTTTAAGTGTGTAGCATGTAATGTTTTGATTCGGAATTATTTTACCCTACAAGACTAACATCTTATTATATAATAGTATAGATGCTATCTATAGGTAAGAATGATATACTTTTTTTACAGTTTGTAACGATAAAAAAGTTGCCTTCGTTTGTATGCACTGAGAAGAGGAAAAAAGAATGGCCCCAGATAACCAGCCAGGCAGCAGAGACATATTAGTAGCAATGGGAGAGAACAAAGAAATGCCCCTAATTACATGTATGGTAGTAGCATCGGGAAGTGTGATAGTAAGATGAGATATATGGTTGCAAAAGCAGTGGTGGCCATGGCCAACAGATCCCAAATGCCAACAGTGAGAATTCTTGTACTTATTTTGGTGCACGTGTTAAAAAGAGATAAAAAAAGTAAGGTTGGAGAGAAAAGAAAAGAGAGAGAAAAAATAGAGACAAGGCAAGAAAACAGTCGAAGTCTGACAGTTTGTGTAGGCCTTTAGAATGACGATTTTCTCAAACTAAGGACAATAGACATGGTCAGAACCAGAAGAATGACTAAGAAATAAAAACAATGAGACAATCGACCAGTTTGAAGATCCTGGATACCATCACTTTAGGCTTAAATTTTCTGACGTTCAGCCAGAAGGTACGGGTAGCAAGAGAGAAAGAGATAAATATTGGGTGCATGTGTGAACGTGAGAAAGAGTACAAGAGATTAAGTCTATGACTTTTTTGATCTGTATAGTAATAAGCTTAGAAGTTTAACTGGAAAAAGGACAATAATTCAGGTCGAAAAATAAAAAATAATATATAAATAAAGAAAAGTATGATTAAGGAGGCTCCATCACTGAAGGTACAAGAACTTTAAATCATATATGTTTAAAGCCGAGATCACGCTGTTTTCAATGGTATTCTTATTTTGTAGGTTCACGATCAAAATTCATGGATAATTTAATTTAAAGTTAGCACTTTGCGAGCTCACTTAACATAGTCTCTTATGACCGAAGGCTCTTTATACGAGATGTTACATAAGGAATACTGCAATGTCAAATGAAAAACAAGAGTAAAGAAGGGATTGCAGTCTCTTACTGCAGATAGAAGCTGCAAAACTATAATAAGAATGCTATTGTGAAAACAACTCAAACATAAATAAGGAATACGTATAATTTTTCTTTTACCATAATAGACTTAACGTAACTTCCAAATAGATTGGCCTCAATAGATCTGTGTATCCATTGCAATGTAGTACTCCAAATCTCATATCAAGTCACGTGGGAGCATGCCGAGGTAAGCTTGAAAAAGCAGACGAAGCCTGAGTGACTGTGCCAGTATTCATTTAAGATTTGCGTACACGAATTATTAAATATCAAAAATTAAAGAGCTTCTTTTAATAAATTGGGTTACACGGCTTGAATAAAATCAACATAATCTAATCAATAAGGTAGAAAACTCTAACTATTTTTTAAAGTACTCTAAATAATAAGCTGTAAGCCCAAACTTAATTTAACTTAGTAACGAGAGCAATTAACAGCAATATATTAATTGTAAGGTTTTTAAGTAGTACTAAAATAACACATCGATTGGTAAAAAAATTGTTCAAGTTTTTCGTACATCCCGTCCATGGTTTTTTTACGTATCTTTATAATAAATTATTGTTTATTGTAAGAATTACTGAGTTATTTAATAATTGTACTTTAAAGTGCTTGGATTTCATTAATACATAAAAAAGATATTGGAAGATAAAAGCAAGTTAAATGAATGACATATTTCGGATTTTTGATGCGTTAAAATATGTAGTGTTTTGTATAAAAATTTTTTTGGAAGGACTAAGTTAATCCATTATTAGCTTTAAAATGAAATAAGTAAGAATTATACCATGAAGTAGTTCAATAAAAAAAGGAAAAGCATTTTGTAAAACATTTGTCTTAACTTATGCACTAATCGTTATACACCCAACCTAATCGAAAACAGTGCCGCTATTTTTGCGACACATATTCGACGTATGCCGTGGTTATGCTCCAAAAAAGCGTGCTGCACTTTTTGTAGAGCCATGAATTGCTGGCATGAAAAGCATGCCGCATGTATTGCACCTCAGAACGAAATCCATACACCCGACCTGATCGGAAACAGTGCCGCTATTTTTGCGGAGACTTATTAGGATGGACACATGCCATGGTTATTGTGCTTAAAAACATATTGTGTGCTTAATTGTATGTTCAGATTTGAAATATGGAAGTTAAAAAATTGCCGCTTGACTTCAGCGCTCTCTGTTAAGGACTAAGCAAATTAATGTCTTTTGCGTCATACGTTGCGTTAAAGGCTTATTCATGCGTGTATGCCTTTATCCATGTGTGGCCGAATGTCCGTGTGGCCGTTTGTCTGGGATCCAAAGGAGGCCTACTGCTTAGCTACTTATTGATGAAATGGTTATTGCTATAGAAATATTTAACCAGGACGAAATATATGGTGGTAGCATATGACACTGAAAAAAATTTCATGAATGATTTGGATTCAGGATACGTTGCTTTATACATACATAGCTGCTATTTATATACTTAATAACGTAATTTATTCTGTATTAGTTAACGTTAAAAAAAAAAATTAGTAGAGCATGTAGTTAAGGTGGGCTTTAATTTGATGATTAGTTTATTAAAATAAATAATAAGTGTACGGTATCGCATTACGCTAATTATTTATTATTAAATTGATTTTACTACCACATTTCATAGTAAGTTACAACGCCAGCAACCTTTTAGTATCTACTTTTTGAAGCTGTGCTATTCAAAGCAATTTTTTTCTACAAGGTACTTTAAAAGCCTACCGTTATGATGATGACAATAAGGATTTGTATTAATAACAGGCTGTAGTTACACTATGTAGTAACAAATATGTTAAATAAAAGTTCTAGAAAGAGCATTGTGTATCAAGAGTACCCAGGTACCGTTAAATTATATGTAAAAATACACCAAAGAAGTGGAAAGGGACATTTGCCTGAGAGACATCATATCAAAGAATTTATGGTAACAGCACCTGAAAACTCAAAGTAAACTTAAAAAACGAAAAATTTCTTTGACCACGATTAAACAGATAAACAAATTTAATACTAAGACAGAGTAGTACTGTTCGTCTGACTAAGCCTGAAAAAAGTTATTAAGGCATAAACACCATACTTACATATGTATAATAGCATGGATATGTAAAATATTAGAAACGTAATAGAGCGCCATAAAATGAAAGCAACCACACAATTTTAAGAGCTTAAGTTGACATGTTACCTATTAACTGGTACTGTTTCATGATTTCCCAGAGAGGGAAATATAGGTACTCCAGGAAACATATTTGTCATTTGTAAGACTGTTTCATGTAAAATTTTCAGATTTTCTTCTTTAGTTTGATTCCAAACGTCATGAGGCGGCAAGTCACCTGTCCATATGATGTAGTCAATATCCTGAAAATTTATTTGATTGTCGTATTCACAAAACATCTATAAATGATTTTTGTTTTTATGCATTCTCAATCGTAAATGTAAATTTCAATGCCTAATGTTTTAATCCATTTATCTTAGACAGTTAAAATATGTATTATCTTTCTAGAAAGAATAATATGTTTTTAAAACAGATTTTAAATAAGACATATCAAGATAAGGTTTTTAACTATAAAGACTTTAAAACTACTTGTAGGGTAAGTGTACCTATCTCCGTGGCACGTACTGAAAATTCCAACTTAAATGCACCATAAAAAATGGTATACTAAAATTTTTTGGAATATTTTTTTTTTTAATCTTACATAATCTCTTACGGAATATTAAAAAAAATTTTATGAAGCTAAAACTGCAGTAGAATATTTTTAAAACGAATAAAAACGGTATGCTGGTATTACCGTGGTTGTGTACCTATTACCGTGTGCGTATTACCGCGGATGTATAGGGTTATGTTTACGTACGCTCACCACGGAAATACGTACACAATCAGTTAATAAGGGCGTTGTACCGAATACCGTGGAAAATAATTATTTACTCAAAATATACACAAATATTTCTGTTTGAATTGCATCTACATTAACGTCATTTTAGATTATTAAAATTGAAAAATTATTTTATATGAAACATTTCTTATTTTGAGCAAGTAATCATCAGTTTTTCAAAATCCTCGGTAATAGGGCAGAGCACGAAGATAGGTACACTTTCCCCTACTTCTTACACATTTGATAGTGATGAATCGAAAAATCAGCTAAATAAAAATTAAGCTGTGTGCTATTAAAACTACGTAAAACGATACGTAAATTTTTTAATTTGGCATTGGATCTAGCAATCCCTATCTATTGCAATCTAAACACTGTTTCGTATTCAGGGAGTTCCAAAGACCTATGGGGCAAGGAAAAAATCCCAAAATCACTTAAATGCAAAATCCCATAGAAATATTCACCCCAAAACAGGCTAGATTTTGAATGAATTTTCTCAAATAAAAACATTTTTTTTTATCTGCATTCAGTGTGAACCAAGCATACGACTTGAGATCCGTATTGTTTTAATACCAGCTACGATTACCACTAATACTACACTCCTTCTCAAATTTTTTTTTACTTATCAACGCTCTGTTCATTTAACAGTTTAAATCAACAATTCCTGTTAAGTTCATCATTCGAACCCCTAAGAAAACTGCTATCGTAAAAGAATTAGCTTTCCCTTGACCTGTTATACGTTGTCTTCCCCCCAAAAAAACACTATAAAGAATTTGTCAACTATTCTTTAATGCATTTTAAGGTATCATTCTGTTAAGTTTTAACAAAACCCTACAGAAAATATTCAGGTGACTTGTCATGTTATTTGTCAGGTTACATGTCCCGTCAAAAGTCGTGCCAATTTACCATATAGAAGTGTCATGTAGAATTGTCATGTGAAAATGTCATGTGGATTTTCATAAGCTAGATTTTCGGCGATTCAAAAATAAAAAAAGTAAAACTTGTACTTCTAACTGCTGAAAAGCTGTGAGAAAAGCTAATACAAATAGTAAAAAAAAAGCATCCCTTAGCTCCAGTAAAGGGATTTGAACCTGGTCCGGATCATTGGTAGTCGAGTGTCTTACCACTTGGCCAGACTGGATTAGACATTTGGGACATAATTTACGTCCTTATCAGGTACATTTAAGAGTGATGTTTATTAAATAATTTTGTGAATAGCATTTACCACCTAAGATACCTAATTGATAATTAACTTTTTGTAAATATACATTTGACATTGTTTCGTACTTCTTAATAAGTTTGTCAACAGTTAATCTAGTAATTAATTTAACAACTTTTTTTCGTTCACAGATTTTACTTAAACTTTACAGATACTTCACTTTCCAAGGGAAAAAAGTCTATTTTTTTAAATGTTATAAATTTGTTTTAACTGCTACAACAAAGTTGTGTATTACCTTTTCCTCTTTAATACTTTAATGTGTGCATTGACAACCAACAGAATTTTTTTTTACACATAATGCTTTTTATAATTTTAAATTACATTTCAGATAACAATTTCAAAAGTTTTGTTTGAATCCAATAGTTTTCGGAAAAATCTTATTTAATGTATAAGCTTACGTTGCAGGAATTTATATAATTTGCCTGAGTACTGTACAAATAAGTAAAAAATTATTTTTCTGCTTGTATTCAATACGCACAAAAAAGTATAAAGAACAAAAAAGTAGTTCACATTTTTGTTGTAGCAATTACAACAAGTTTATTACACTTGTATAAAAAGACTATTTTCCTTTGGAATCAAAAGTATATGTAAAGTTTAGGTAAAATCTATGAACAAAAAAGAGGTTGAATAATCAATTACTAAATTTACTATTGACGTACGTATTAAGAGACACGAAACAATATAAAAAGCACATTTATAAAATGTAATTCACGAAATCAGAAAATAAACATTAGTTTTAGATGTATCTCATAAGGACGTGAATTCTGACCCAAGTGTCTAAACCATTCTGGACACGTGGTTAAGACACTTGACTACCCATAATCCAGACCAGGTTCAAATCCCTTTACCGGATGCTTTTTTTTTAACTATTTATATTAGCTATTCTGACAGCTTTTAAGCAGTTAGAAGTAGAAGTTTTACTTTTTCATTTTTGAATCGTCAGAAATATAGATTATAAAAATCTACATGACACTTTCACATGACAATTCTACATGACCCGTCTATATGGTAAATTGGCTCAACTTTTGACCTGACATAACATGACAAGTCACCTGAACATTTTTAGTAGGGAACCTTTAAACATGTTTAACAAAACCATCTTAGACTTATTTTTTGCTCACACTATCTAATAAGTATAAACAGAAAGATATATTCCACAATAGCTAGCAGATGCATAATGAAATATGATAAATGAGTAATCATTATTCTCATTTTCACCCTAAAAAAAAAAAATATTCCACGTGTTTAATAAGAGCAAAAAGTGTAATTGTATTAATCAACAATAGTTAAAAAAAAAAAGCTAAGAAAAACAACGAAAAATAAGAACTGTCACCTGCAACCTTATTTACTTACGCTAAAATAGAACTCCGTCATATGTTACAGTAAAAGTTTAAAAGAATTTATTTATTACTATTTTTTTAAAACTGTTACTATATTGTTGTATGCTTGTTGTACTGCTTTATTAACTTTTACTATAAAGACGAGGCACTGATAGTAATCATGTAAAGTGTAGCCAAAAGAAAAAGTACAATTTCTTGAAACTGGAAAAGTGTTAAAAATAATTACATTTTAGAAAGTAAATTTGAATCTTCATACATAATTCGGGATGTAAAAAATCAGAGGTAAACTTTAAAGCATTTGTTTTAATCAAACAACAAGGGTTGCTCAAACACGCAGCCATGTTGAGCAAAAATTTTAACATATTAGTTTTTAGTGCTCAAAGACATGAAAAAAACTGTTAAGGGACTTTAAACTAACAAAGGTGAAATCTTGATTTATAATGTAATAATAACAAATAAAATTTTAACTTGATAGAGATAAAGTTCCAAAAAAAAGTTTTTTTACTGATTACTTCAGTAAGCTTTATCGTTTAAAAGCATTTATATATTGACTTATAAAACAAAATGGGCATAACTGATAAAGTAAAAGTATCAAAACTTGTTTGTACGATACAATATAACTACAAAGTATCCGTAGCCAAATACTGTGGCTGGAATTGCAGTTAGGAAGTAACAAGACGTTCAGGTAAACAGGGAGATCATGAGGGAGCTGAGAGGACGAGGCCTCTAATACACATAAACTTTTTTGAGATAAGAGAATGGCAAATACTTATAAGCAGGGTTTGCATTCAATTATGAATTCACTAAGAAATCCATGTTACAGCAACTGCAGAAGTGCGATAAGAACAGACAAAGAAGTTTTCGTCTTTTTATTCCTTATCTCCCATAAAAAAACAGCTTACTTTGCATAATGCGAAAAAATTGGCAAACAAAAAATGTCATGAAAATTATCGTATATCGTAAACACAATGATCAAGCGAGTAGTCAAAAAATAGACGTCAAAGCGATTAAGAAAGTCAATTGTTAGATACTAGTTGCTACCAGGATATCGATAATCAGAACCAAACCAGTGATAAAATATAAGAGGACTGGAGAAGCAGTAAGAAGAAGAAAGTACAAATTCAGCTGATTATTATTAGTTAAGACCGATTGATCAAGCAAAAAACGATACTGTGTGTCAAGAACCACTTTTTGCTAAATTCATTACCTTTGTCTGCTAAGTAGGTAAAGAATGACAAATTATTATTCAGAGATTCTGTAAAGAGTGAATGCTAAGGTGAACACAAATCTACTAAAAGAAATAACAATGATAAATTGAACAAAAAATAATTATCTGTAAATGATACCGTCATCACCTATAAGACTTCTACGTATATAATGAGGGTAATTGTATGGGGCCTTCTATACAAATCTTTCGCAGCATCACATAGCCCCTTATACCTCTCTACTAACTCTGTTGACCCTCACTGACCCCCCCCCCCCGATTGAATATTACGTCATTTTTCTCCTTATTTAAGCGTAGCTTACTTTTTGTCCGATTTCTCCAAGCCACCTCCCCCACACAGCCACCCAGTGACCCCTCTACATACCTCCTTCGCCCCAGCATGATTCTTTTGACCTCCTACGATCCACCCTCGAATTCTCCACGCCATTTTTAAAATTTTACAGACACTCTTTTAATGTAAACAGAATTTAACACCTAACCTTATGCATATACAAATACATTTTATTTTTCAGCAAACTAGGATAACCTGTTATATATACATAATAAATACGTAACCTTTCAAAGTAAACTAATATTCACTTGTGTCAAAAAAGTGAACATCATTTACTAGTAACATATTCGCGATATGAATCCACCTGTAGCACCACCTTTATGACAATCAATGAAACTGACAAGAGGCAGATAAATAAACCGAAATAACATGT